CGCTGATCGTGTTCGGCGACTCAACGGTCGACACGGGCAACAACAACTACATCTCCACGCTCCTCAAGAGCGACTTCGCGCCCTATGGCCGCGACCTCCGGCCGCCGGGAAGCGGCAGTGGTGGCCAGCCCACCGGCCGGTTCTCCAACGGCCGCCTCGCCATCGACTTCATCTCCGAGGCTTTTGGCCTCCCCCCACTCGTGCCGGCGTACCTGGACCCCAACGTCAACATGAGCAGCCTTGCCACCGGCGCCTGCTTCGCTTCTGCCGGAGCCGGCTACGACAACGCCACGTCTGATCTTTTTGTAAGAAAGACGCCATCGTGCTCGTGCACAAAAAAATAGGTTCTTTGTTGTTACGACGCCAGTGAACGCCGCCTCCGACAAACATGTCGATCCGTTTTGCAGTCCGTTCTGCCGCTGTGGAAAGAGCTGGACTACTTCAAAGAGTACGCGGCGAAGCTGAGGAGCTTCCAGGGCGAGGACAGGGCTCAGGAGACGCTGTCGGAGGCGCTCTACGTCGTGAGCATGGGCACCAACGACTTCGTGGAGAACTACTACGCCGTGCGGAGCGGCCACGCGGCGGAGTACGCGGAGTCGGCGTCGGGCTACGCGGGCTACCTCCTGGGCGTGGCGGAGTCGTTCGCGCGCGCGCTGCACGCGCTGGGCGCGCGCAAGCTGGACCTCAACGGGCTCCCGCCCATGGGGTGCCTCCCGCTGGAGCGCCACGCGGTCACGGGCGCCTGCACCGAGGAATACAACGACGTGGCGCGGGCCTTCAACGCGGGCCTCCGCGACCTGGTGGCGCGCCTGGACGGCGATGGCGGCGCCAGGGTCGTCTACGGCGACGTGTACGGCCCTGTGGCGGACGTGCTCGCCGACCCGGCGGCGTACGGGTTCGAGGACGTCCGGGCCGGGTGCTGCGGCACCACGGGGCGGTTCGAGATAGGGTACATGTGCAACGAGGCCAGCCCGCTTACGTGCGCGGACGCCGGCAAGTACGCGTTCTGGGACGCCATCCACCCCACGGAGCACCTCCACAGCTTCCTCGCCGACCGCAAGATGAACACCACGCTCTACGTGTTCCAGTAAAAAAACATGGAACAGGGTCGCATCGCCGTTGCTTCGTTATCAAATTAAACAGCAGACAACAGTAAATCAATCCGTGAATCGAGCGATGCGGTTGTTCAACCATTTGCTGCAAGAGAGGGAAAGAAATGAACCTACTACAAGACGTATACGGTTATGTTAGTTTCCCTGTCATGCAAAGCAATGGCGTGGAGGCAAGGACGCGTAGACATGTGCGACGCAACTACGGCCTTGCTCTGTTGTATTTTTCAGCGACCTAGGAGGTTTTTCTCTCACAATAAATCAGCATTAGCCGAATTTCAGCGAAACAAACAGGGCCTACACCTACTGACGTACATTTTCATTTTCTTCGTGCAAAACGGAGGATCATGTCAGTCCGCACACCCTAAAACTGCTACGTAATTTTGATAACTACCACCTTAGAAAAAAAAACATCATTTTAACACCTTATCGCTCAAAGCACAGTTTTCTTATGTCAGTCCGCAATAAATTTTCTCACCCTACAAAACTCTGTCGTGCTAATACAAAAGAAGGTGATGAATGGCACATCTAAAGCATTTCATTTTCCCTAAAAAGCAGGCACCTGAAATCTGGCTTTGCTTTAGGCGATAACGTGATCCTTTGATCTTGTTTCAAGGTTCGTACATCTGATCCGTTAGATCTCCATCTCATGACTCACAATCATTGCCTCAACAAATGCTAGTTTTCAATCACCTCCGAACAGAGCAAATCCCAAAGCATTTCGCATGTCTCCGAAGTCCACCTATTCTCCACCAACCGGTCATCTAGTAACATTACTCAATAACCACAAACAATGACCGAAAACAACTGAATAGATGAACTGTATTCCTTTGAGCAACACATGAGTAAGCTCCATCAAACTAGAGTCTCCCTTCTCCTAAAATACAAGTCAAGTAGTTGCATGGCCGAAGAGGAAGACATGTTCGTGAAGTCCGCAAGGCACCGTAGGTCTACCGACAATCAACGCTACACGTAGCTAGTCTTCCAAAGCAACGTTGAAGAGCAAGCGAAGTTGCGATCGATGAACCAATAAGGCCACATGGTGACATAAAGTGGATCATATCATCAACATGGAGATGAATTGGAATGCGCAAGGCAAAGGTATATTTGTAGAGCATTTCATCTCATCGATCAAAGGTTGTGTAGAGAAGTGCATGGCGATTTAGGTTAGATGGTTGTACTATTAAGAGGGCCAACTTGTTTGCATATCGGTCATTTAGTGCCACTTGAGCGATCTAACTTTGCATGCGATGCTAGGATCAAGTGGGCGGAAAGAGGAGTGAAAATCCTTTGAAAAATGATTGTGAAAATGTTGTAGGGTGTCGGACCCTAAGAATTGGTCTAATGCCTAGCGTAGGGCCGATCCGACGGTGCAGAAATCGTTTCTGGACCTCTCTTGAGTGCGTCGGACCTTCGGTAACGATTGGTCCGCCAGTCATCGAACCGTGGACGTTCGGACCTTGCACAAAAGAGTCGTTTAGGCGGCGCCGACGGCTAGTTTCAAATGGTTGGTACATTTGGCATGTTTCTAGGGTGTGGGACCTTGGCGTCCATGGTCGGACGCTATCGAGGGACGGTCCGACGCTCTCGTGTTTTGCCTAATGAAGGGACCAATGGTCACTTTGCCCTTGGGGATATAAATAGGACCCTTGTCCACCTTGGGCTAGTTGATCAACACCCTTGGGACTTAGTGTCCATGTTTGTGGAGTACTGGAGAGCCTCTAACTCACTTTGTGCAAGTAGTGATTGCATCAGATTGCGAGTGAGTGATCGCTAGTGCGTTGCATTGAGAGATTGCATCGAGTGGCACTAGATAATTAAGTTGCAAGCCAGTGGTGCTTGTTAGTCTTGGAGGTTGCCACCTCCTAGATGGCTTGGAGGCTTGTGTGCTTCGTTGTAGCACGCTCGAGATTGAACGGAGCTCTGAAAGCGACCGTATCCATATTGTGAAGGGTGTTGTGCTCGCCTCGTGAGAGATTGCGAAGAGCAACTCTAGTAAAAGCGAGGCGTGAAGAGCGTCAAGTGGTCCGGCCGGTTCAAGTGCTAGAGATCATGGTGAGCACTCCACGTGGGAGAGTGTGACATGGGGTCACCACTATCCAGAGGATCGGCGGCAACCTTGAGCTTGGCTCAACGGGGAATAAGTGGTTGGCAAACCACTAAATCTCGGGATAAAAGTCATTCTCATCATCTTTCTGTTGGTTTGCAATTCTCTATCACAAGCTTGTATTTACTTGTTCATATTGTTGTGCTTGTATTGTTGCTCTTGTCCTTGCTTAGCTTGTGTAGCTAAGTTGTTGTTGCTCTCTAGTTTAACTTATGTAGCTTTGCTTGTTGAGTAGTGCTAGTGTGCTTAGGTTTTGTGCGCTTTTCCATCACTAGCATGTGTAGGAGCTCTCTTTGTTGTACTAGTTGCAAAAGTTTATGTGACCTTGCTAACTAGAATTGTGTAGGTGAGTTCTAGCTAGCTCGGCACCTTAGTTGCTTAATTAGGATCTTTTGTAAGGTGCTTGGAAAATTAGATAGAGGGGTGTAGTGTTAGCTAGTCCGAATAGTTTTAATTCCATATTTGTTTTGATTAGCTAGCGTAATTAGTTTTAGAAAAGACTATTCACCCCCTCTGGTGGGCCACCTCGACCTATCAAAGGTTGAAATGACCGTAGACGGAACTAACTTTTGTATGTTGATAAATTTTCCAATTGAATCTTCAACTTATAATAACATTAGGTTGTAATTTAAATTATCCTTTGATGTTAAATAATAGAAATCTAAACATAGTTCAGTACCAAAGTTTAATTTAATAAACATAGAAAAAGTTCACAAGTTAATACCTAATAACATGGAAAGGGATGTCGACAGAGCCATTAAATTAAAATGTAAAAGAGGGATATAGAAGTGAATTGTACAAAATGGCATGTGCTGTTGTACCAACATTAGGCTCATATGTACTCACTCCATTCCAAATTATTTGATGTTTTAGCTTTTTTTTAGATACGTAGCTTTTCTAGATACATAGTCTTTGCTATGCACTTTGATATACATTATGTTAAGATAAATATATAGTAAAAGCAATATATATAGAGAAAAATTTAAATAGCTTATATAGTTTGAAATGGGGTGAGTATAATACTAGCTCTAGATCATGGCATTACCAACCAATAAAGAGAGGTAATGCATGAGAAAAGTCTTCCCGTATGACTGTGCTCCTAGAAAATTTCTTAATATACTTCCAAACACGGGCGGACCTTTTTCCTAACGTGACCTTACTCTGTTCGTCCATATCTACCCATCACAAGACCTGGCCACTTCGTACAAATCTCTGCACCAACTGAGCCATTCTGGCAAAACTGAATGCTCACGTCTGCCTATTCGGGACAAGATGCCAATCAAAATCATCAAGATGGCAGCAATTCAGCGTCCTGTTTAGTTCCCTCACAAAATACTAATTTTTTTAAGATTTTCCGTCACATCGAATCTTTCGACGCATGGAGCATTAAATATAAATAAAAAATAAAACTAATTATACAGTTTAGACGAAATACATAAGACGAATCTTTTAAACATAATTAGACTATGATTAAACACTAATTACCAAATAACAGCGAAAACACTTTCGCCAAAAATTTCGACATCCAAACTGACCCCTAGCCTTGCGGTTCTGCAAGCCAACAAGACCCAAAGCGACAACTCGACGCAACAGACATGTCGCTTGTGACTTGTGAGCCTCTGACCCCTGCCCCCTTCTCTGCACTCTGCAGTATTGTAGCTGTCGCCACAGTTCCCTTCCCGCCACCTTACCAGCTCACCTCAATTTATTGCTGCAAGAAACCAGCAGCGCGCTCTTCAAAACACTACTCGCTCGCCGTCAGCTGCATCGCACACACACTCCCAATGGCGCCGCCGACATGCCGTTCTGGGGCTGGGGCCGAAGCCGCGCTGCTGCTGCTGCTGGTGGCGCTGACGGCGACGAGCGGCATCGCGCGGGCCGCGGCGCAGCGGGTGCCGGCGGTGATCGTGTTCGGGGACTCCACGGTGGACACGGGCAACAACAACCAGATCCCCACCCCGCTGCGCGCCGACTTCCCGCCCTACGGCCGCGACATGCCGGGCGGGCCGCGCGCCACCGGCCGGTTCGGCAACGGGCGGCTGCCCCCGGACTTCATCTCCGAGGCGCTCGGCCTGCCGCCGCTGGTGCCGGCCTACCTCGACCCGGCCTATGGCATCGACGACTTCGCGCGCGGCGTGTGCTTCGCGTCCGCGGGCACTGGGATCGACAACGCCACCGCCGGAGTCTTGGTAAGTTCCCCGCCGACCGCCGTACGTCCCCAGCCGATTGTTGCTGTTCTTTGTCGATACATCAGCTGTGCGCGTAGTCTTCACACTTCACTACCGAGTAGTATCGCCACGCACGCGTCTCTGCAGAACAGAATTGTGCGTGGCTCATTCGCGTCCGAAAGCAGAGAAGTGTGTGGTTCGTACATACACTTGAGCTTTTTCCTGCGTATACACTTAGGTCATGGAGTGTAGCTTGCACATTATTTTTGCAAAACAGAGCAAAAGGTGGTGTATGGCACACTTTTACACATCGAGAATTGTGTGTCTCATGCATTTTTGAAAGTAAAAGAAACGAAAGGGAGTGCGTATTGTTCATAGAGTATCACCACGGCCTTCGTCTCAAAGAGAGAAAAAAATTCTATGTTTGGTCTAAGAGCCTATTTGATAGATTAGAACTAATAGCCTACTAATAATTAAAGTTAATAGCTAATTAGTTCGCTAACATTAGCTAGACTCTTTGGATATGTGGGCTAATAGATCTATGATTCATGGCAAAATCTTTTCTACCCTGTGTATACGTGCACAAGGCATGGAAGGAGTAGGTGGGTGGGACATTATGGTCTTTTCTCAAACTATTAGTTCCTTTTAGCTTCTTTATTTTAAACACCTAACGGAATATAATTGGATGACTCGCTAACAATTGGCCTACTTGTTTGGATCATCTAGGACCAATTTTTAGCGGCTAATAACAATGAGCTCTACGAACCTAAACAAGATCTTGTTTGAATCTACTAGCAGTAAATAGTTTGATGGCTAATAGTATATAATTAATATTAGCTAACTAATTAATAGTTTGATATTATTTGGATCCACCAACTGAAAGGTGGATGCATTGATGAGAGGGACTTGACCATGACAATCCGGCCGTGGTAGTTGAGTCGTGTTCCCGCTTCGGCCGCCGCCGTTGGAGACGTCGATGTGGCGCGAGCAGCAGGCAACGAAGTGGCGCGCGTAGTCGGCGTTCTAGAAGCCGGCGAGGTCCGCGTTGAGGAGGCCTCGAAGGAGATCGTCGCGGACGGGGACGGCGCTGAAGATCTCGGGGGAGGGGAACGGCGAGTGGAGGAAGAACCCGACGCCGGCGCGCGGGCACTTGCAGTGGAGGAAGGTGGGGAGCACCCAGAGGTGGTAGTCGTGGACGATGACAAGGTCGCCGTCGTCCGGGGAGAGCACCTCGATGACGCTATTAGCGAACTGCATGTTCACCGCGAGGAACGTTCGGTACGTACCGGCGTCGAAGCGCAGGTCGCCGTCGTGGGCTGGCGAGAGCGGCAGCAGGTAGTGCTTGCGGAAGTCGTCGTAGAAGTCGCTGTGGCGGGCGCCGCCATCGAGGTACACGGGGAGGCGGGAGAAATTCTCCATGAGGTAGTAGTCGAACTCCCCGTGCAAGTGTGTCGCTCCCCCTGCTTGTAGCCACAGCCCATCGGCCCCGTCCTCCACTACAGGCTCGACATGGTGGCGCAGTGCAGGCACCACTTCACCAGTTTGTCTTTCTCATTGTCGGTGCCGGCGCCGCCACATCCGTCGCGGACTCCGCTGTCGTCGTCGTCGGAGGAGGAGGCGGTGGAGACTTCTCCCTCCTGGGGTACGTCCTCTTCGGCAGGTACACGTCGAAATCTAGCATGGAATCCAAGATCGAGCTGTCCGGCGGGGCTCCGCGTCCTGGATCTCCTGTGGGGGCGGTTGCTCTTGCTCGGAGACGATCGTCGTTGTCATCGCTGGTGTGGGAGGTTCATGTGCACCTGCTCTAGCATCACCATTTTATTCGCTATACTTTTGGTGGTAGCCACACTTAAAAATCTGCGCGATTTATGATGTATCAGCTGTTTTGTTGTCTTCACTACCGACCGAATAGTATCGCCATACACGTGTCTCCACGAATTAGTGCATAGTTGAGGGCACGAATTAGTGTACAGTTGAGGGCACATTTTACTTTCTCCACGGTTCACTCGCATTAGAAAACAGAGAAGTGTGTGGTACATATACTTGAGCTTTCCGTGCATATACACATTGACTGTGGCTCATACATTATTTGCAAAATTTAGAGAACTATTATTAGCTGACTACTAAAAACAGTAGACACTTTCATTTCTTCTAGGTAGGCTCTGTTTGGATCTACTGGCTAAACTTTAGCCGGCTAAATTTAGCTATGGTGGATCCAAACAACCCACGGCTAAACATAACTAAGGTGGTGTTTGGATCACTAGTCCGAGGACTAAAGTTTAGCCTCTAAAGTTCATGCTGAGCTATTTGGATCTATGGGCTAAACTTTAGTCTTCTAATTTATAATGACTGATTTGCTCTCATTTAGTTATCCATGCACAGCCATGCATGCGAGCGGCAAGGGGTATGTGGCGTTCAGCGTCCGTCCCAAGGGAGTTTAGCTCAGTTTAAGACCTCTTTGAGAGCAAAAGATTTTAGTCCAATTTTTAGCCATTTACTCACTTTTAGCACTCATGTTTGTATCCCTATGGAAAAAAGGGACTAAAAGTGTAGGACTAAAGTTTTACCATGCAATCCAAACAGGGCCTAAGCTTTAGCTGGAGGCCAAAATGTACACACTCTTTTTAGCTGTTTCAACCCAGCTAATGGCCGCCAAAACTGACTAACGACCAAATTGTCCTCGCATATTTTTCCGCATCCGTGCGCTCGGAGCTGTTCGACCGTGTTCTTTTTTCCCAATCCGCGTGCGGCACCGCTTCCCAGCGATTTCTGTAGCGACTTTCGCATCTGTTCGTGTCCGTCGGCGCAGCGGAGTTGTCCACATAGCCAAATGGTGGCCGCGATGCGGGTGTGGGGATGCACCCGCTCTACTGCCTCGCCGGGGAGACGGAGGGAGGAAGAAAGGGCAATAGGGTCAATAAACACCCATTAGCTAGAGGATCCAAACAGCCCCGGTTAAACTTTAGCTGGTTAAACAGCTGGGGTGAATCCAAGGCCTGAATGCATGAGATGCGAAAATTATCGATGTGTATCAGTGCGTATGTGCCATATATCAATATACACATAATGTATGAACCACACATAAATTTGCGGTTTAGTCTAAAGCCTCCTTTAGATTCACTTGCAGTAGTTCAGAGCTAGTAATGTACCTTAGTTCATAACTAAGAGAATGTTTGGAACTGCCTCTCTCCACGAAATAGGTGTAACTCTACTCTAGAAATTTTAGTTTTTTTAGCTGCTCCACAGTGGAGTGTGTACATGAGATTCAAACAGACCGATTAGTTGACTATTTTCACTCAATTGAATAGAGAATTGAATGTGTCTTCGTCGAGAGTCAACACATCCAATTCGCTCCAACCTGCACCGTTTCTTTCGGTCCTCTGACGGTGAATCGGTGGTCGCGTCCGGCGTCCACCTATCCTGCCGATGATAGGATGAATATATGGACGGACCACTCCCAATTCGGTAGTACTAGTTGCCTATGAGCTATGACACTGCGGTGTACTGCCTCTGCATATGTACCCTGCCTGCATGCTCCGTAGACCGTAGGTAAACTCGTGAGGCGGCAGAGGCACGGCCCGGTGCACCCGGACCGTGCGCGTGGCGACGCCAGCAGACGTGCAGTGCAGTTCCGGCGGTCGCACCCACCGCACGGTCGGTCGGTCGATGCCTCGGTGCAGTGCGGCGCGGCCCCGGTTTTGAGCTGTTTTCTCAGGGAAACCGAACTGATGCAGCAGATGAATGCGACCCTTGCTGATTGCTCCTGTCCTACTTTGGGCCCGTTTGGTTTCGCAAGATCAACTCCCCGGAAGAATTCCGGCTGAGAATCTTTATTTAGGCCACGTTCGTTTCACCCATAGGAAGAAATTCTAGCCGTATTGTTACTTTAGGGCGCGTTTGGCCGAGCTCCCGCCGGCTCTGGCTCTCACACTGTAGCGCGCAGAAGCTGGAGCCGGAGGAGCCAAAAAACGAGCTTCTCCAGCTCCGGCGCTGTCAGTGAGAGAGGAAAGGAGGAGAGAAAAAACGGCTCCGGTGAACAGTGTCGCTACAGGAGATCAATATGGGAGGAGTTAGAGGAGCCAGAGCCGCTCGAAGCCCGGCCAAACAGGCTCTTAATTTATATAAGTTTTCACTGTCGGATTGATTCCTGACCTCTAAAGCCGTAACCGAACGAGCCCTTAATTTATATAAGCTTTTGTTAACCGGAATGATTCCTAGCGTCAATCTTCTGTTAACGAACGAGCCCTTAGAAAATTCAGCTTCGTCGATCATGCAATCACTTGTGCCGGCCCGCATTTAGTACCACTACCTGGATGGGGTATGTTCGCATTGACAAGCATGTCTCGCCTAATGACCGCTAGCTGTTCCTGCGTACTGTACATGATGAACCGGTCCTGCATGCTGCATCCTGCATGTGCGCTGACCAACGGTGGTTCACTAGTCAGTGATCCCGCTGTGGAAGGAGGTGGAGTACTACGAGGAGTACCAGCGGCGTCTCCGTGCGCGCGTGGGTGCGTCCCGCGCCGCCGCCATCGTCCGCGGCGCGCTCCACGTGGTGAGCATCGGCACCAACGACTTCCTGGAGAACTACTTCCTGCCGCTGGCCATGGGGCGGTCCGCGCAGTTCACGGTGCCCGAGTTCGAGGACTTCCTCGTCGCCGGCGCGCGGCAGTTCCTGGCGCGGATCCACGGCCTCGGCGCGCGCAGAGTCACCTTTGCGGGGCTCGCCGCCATCGGCTGCCTGCCGCTCGAGCGCACCACCAACGCGCTCCGCGGCGGCGGGTGCGTCGAGGAGTACAACGACGTGGCCAGGAGCTTCAACGCCAAGCTGCAGGCCATGGTGCGCGGCCTCAGGGACGAGCTCCCCAGGCTCCAGCTTGTCTACGTCTCCGTCTACGAGAGCTTTCTCCGCCTCATCACAAACCCACAAAAATTTGGTGAGCATGCACCAATCTCATTTCGTTTGTACGTAGTAGATTAATAGTTATCCAAGCAGATTCCTTCACCCTGCTGCTCACACGTACGTCGCCATTATGCATGAACATGGCAGGGCTGGAGAACGTGGAGGAGGGGTGCTGCGCGACAGGCAGGTTCGAGATGGGGCTCATGTGCAACGACGACGCGCCGCTGACCTGCGACGACGCCAGCAAGTACCTCTTCTGGGACGCCTTCCACCCCACGGAGAAAGTGAACCGGCTCATGGCCAACAACACCCTCCAAGCGTGCTACCAACAAGGCGTCCTGTAACGTAGAATATACTCATATACATAGTACGTATTCAAAGTAGCGACGGAATTAAGAGAGAAAAGTTTATGCTCAGCTCACAAAGATTTGAATCACAGAAATAGATGGAACAAAATTTACCGGGACACAATGCATAGTACACTTTTGATCTGAATGTGTGCTACCAATGCAAGAAGTACCAACACGGTGTCCTGTAACGTGTGTATACATTGCAATTAGCCAATTAGAGACGGCATCTCATTGATCGATTCCATCATAATTCATTTAGGTAAACTATCTCTTCATATTAGTTCTCCTCCCACACCTGATTCCGTTTTTTTTTCTTTCTGATTCTTCTTCGCGAGTTTTTTAAGAAATTGGAAAAAATATTCTTTCTGTTTCTTCTTTGCGACTTTTTTTTAAAGAAAATGCAAAAAAATATTTCGGCCTCCACAAGGGTGGCACTCAAGCATCATCACTGAGATTTGAAATGCACAAACCCTGCTTTCCTGTAGAGGATGGCATCAAATGGTTAGGGCCGGATTGGCTATTCGTTCTATTGTCTAACTGTGCTGAGGAGGTAAAATGTAACGATCCACATTCTAAATAGATAATTAACCTTAGATAAGTGAGTCATCAGTTTCTCTTAATTGCAACAGGATAGATAATTGATTCGCATTGACATAAAAATACACAAATCATGTATTAATCTTTGGAAATTCTTCTTACATGATTAAAGCCAAATTAGCTTCACAGCACACCACACAACATTCTTTACATTTCTAGGTACACTAGTACACACCACTGTGGCAACTATTTCACCAACTCTTGTACTAGTTTATTCACAGGTGAGCTGCCATGCCCTTCTTAGAAAGGATCCAGCCAATCATGTTGCAGCAGCTTGCCGCACCACTGCACAGACCTTGACCAAGCTGGGAGGTGAAGGTAAATATCTCGTAGAGGCTGGAGAAGAGTACTAGTAAACCAGGAGTGAAAGTCAAAGGAGCAGTTCCCATCGTACTAGCAAACCAGTTCTTAGCCTTGTTTACTTCTTAAAAGTGCACTATACAAAAAAAAAAAATTCTTCGTCATATTAAATTGTGGAAGTACTAAATATAGATGAAATTAAAAACTAATTGTACAGTTTGCTTTAACTATGCAAGATGAATCTTTTAAGTCTAATTAGTCAATGTTTGGACAATAATTTATAAATACAAACGAAATACTACAGTGGAGAATCGTGCACTATGCAAAGTTTGCAGGTGCAAACTTTGCCGAACTAAACGCGCCCTTAGTCTCCACTTACTACCGGAAACCGGTACTTTGCCGAGTGTCGGAGGCTTTACCGAGTGTATTTTATCGAGCACTCAGCAAAGACGGTCTTTGCCGAGTGTCAAATAAATACACTCGATAAAAAAAAAACACTTGACAAAGATGGCTTTGCCGAGTATTTTTTTCGGCACTCGACAAAGATGTATTTTGCCGAGTGCCATTTTTTGTCACTCGGCAAAATGCGTCTTTGTCGAGTGCCTTTTTCTGGCACTTGGCAAAGATGTATTTTGCCGAGTGCTATTTTTTGGCACTCGGCAAGATGCGTCTTTGCCGAGTGCCTTTGTTTTGGCACTCGGCAAAGAGGCATTTTGCCGTGTGCATTTTTTTCCCTCGGCAAATAATTTTTTCAAAGCAATTTTTGAGGCCCTAAATGAATTCAAATGAAAAACTTTTCAACTACAAAGTTGTATAACTTCTCAAGATCTACAAAGTTTATTTTGGTCATTTCTTCATTTGACAAAGCGACAATAACGTTGTTCATAAAATCTACATCTCTCTCATATCTCTCATATTAGTTTCATGAAAGTAGAAGAGAGATATATAAGATTTGTGAACAATGTTACTATCACTATATCGGATGAACAAATGACCAAAATAAACTTTGTAGATCTTGAGAAGTTATGAAATTTTATAGTTGGCAACATTTTGATTTGAAATCATCTTGTCATGCAAAAACGACGTTTGAATTTGAAAATTTTAAAATTTGAATTTTTCAAAAGACATCGGATGGAAAAACTTCTTAAATGAAAATTGTAGATCTCCAAAAGTTATGAAACTATGTAGTTGACAATTTTTTGATTTGAAATCATCTTATCATGCAAAACTACGTTTGAATCTCTCAAATTTGAAATTCGATTTTTTCAAACGACCTCGGATGGAAAAACTTCATAAATAAAAATTATAGATCTCGAAAAGTTATAAAACTTTGTAATTGACCACTTTTTGATTTAAATTCGTTTAGGGCCTCAAATAAGCAATTTACTCTCGGTTTAGTATAATATATGAGGATAGATAACGGAATTTAGACATAAGTGAAAATATAGTGCAGTGGTAGAGCAGTAGACACGCGAGGGAGAGGTCGTAGGTTCGAATCCCGCCGGTCACGTTAGCCGCGAATTTAGCGCAAAAAATACAGCGACTTCGAGGGAGAGGTCTGTGGCGGCCTCCCCCGAAAAAAAACTTGCTATTATTTTTGGGTTTTTTCATATTTTCATTTTGCCGAGTGCTTTTCCGGCACTCGGCCCGACAAAAAGCACTCGGCAAAGGCTTCTTTGCCGATTAATTTTTTGTCGAGTGCGGCACTCGGCAAAGCCTTTGCCGAATGTATTTCGGGCTTTGCCGAGTGCCGCTTGAGATTCCAGTAGTGACTCTAGCTCAGTCCTTGCCAGAGAAAAGGGGCAATTTCTTATTTAGTTCTAGTTTAAAGTTGTCTTTCTTCTCTGGTCCTGAAATAAAATTTCTTTTCTATTTGGCCTCACTCGAAGTTTCGTTTTTCAATCTAGCTTTACCGTCATCTCCCGCCTCTAACACCGTTAAGTGGCATATGAAATGACCAAACTGCCCCTGAGACATTATGAGAAACCAAAGGTCACACAGACAGCATAACAACATAATTTTGAGCACTTTGAATCTAATTTTCATAACATAAATTTGTGTTATGAAAATTAGATTCAAAGTGCTCAAAATTATATTGTTATGCTGCCTGGGTGACCTTTGGTTCCTCATAATGTCTCAGAGGTAGTTTGGTCATTTCATGTGCCACTTAACGGTGTTAGAGGCGGAGATGACGCAGAAGCAGCATTGAAAAACAAAACTTCGAGTGAGGCCAAATAGGTAAGAAATTTTGTTTTAGGACCAAAGAAGAAAGAAAACTTTAAACCAGGACCAAATAAGAATTTTTCTCTAGAGAAAACCACTAGGCATCCACATCAGCAAAATGGTGACCTAAGCACCCATGAAGAGCGACATGGGTTGAGGAAGGGGGCGATCAAGTAAGAGAGTCAAGAGAAGTGGCCGGTGAAAGTCAACCAAACAAAGAAGAATAAGCGAGAACTCCAATAGAGTTATTTTTTTGAACGATACTATTTATATGAGCATGAAATAAGATATCATTTAATGCATATATGATGACATGTATAATATGATATGATGTGATGAATATATCCTTACAAGTGTTTCCAACACTTTGTATTAAATTAATAACAAGTTGCATCATATTTTCTTGAGTAGATGTATATCTCTTTTCTAAAAACTAACAAACACTTATGCAAATTATTTTCTAAACTATAAGACAACAACAACTTGTTTTGACCATAACTGAAGTTATATACATCAAAATAATATCGTTGTAGACATTCTGGAAAGCTTATGAAATTGATTACAACTTTATTTTAATCATATTAATGTGATTCAGCAGTTATCTAGGTCAAATAATTCAATCATTTAAATCTATCCAGTGAGCAAGCATTTCGAACAGCAGAATTCTAACAGCCATAATTCTTAAACCATAAGGCCTATGACTATGAAAATTTAACACAAGATAGATAAGTAAGTTATCTACAACTTTGTTATTAACAAATTTTATAGAAAAGACCATTATCATCACAACCAAAACTATAGATGCAGCCATCTAGTTGAATTTATAAAGCAATAATTAACTAGTTACATATAACCAATTAGTTTTAATCCTAACTAATAACATCAACATATCATATGCATCACAAGAACCATAGAAAACATCATGGTTAAATATAACTAACTTATTTATATCCATTTATTAATTTCCTTAAATAATAGGGTGATCTGAAGGATAAATATTTCTAGTGCTTAATAAATTCTGAGAAACTTACAGTAGCCTACAAATATCCTTTATAATCCATTGTACAATATTGATGCCATTTGGATAAGTATAACTACCTCTACAAAAATGACAAATTATATAGGTTTATTTTAGCCAAAATAGTTTAGCATAGTTAAAAGTATCAAGAAATAGATTTAATATTTTTCTTACATTTCTATAAGCACAAGAATATTGTGTAAAAATTTGCATGATCATATGTTATGTATTTTTACCCCAATTAATTTCACTAGAAACTAGCAATTAATTAGGATTAAATATGAAGATCATAATCAAAGTATGACCACTACAAGTTTAATATTTTTCCTAGATAGAACATGTCAACACAAGACCAGCAAAATTAGAATCATAATTTTATCACCTATCTAGCTCAAGTTATGCAATTTACAAGATAGAAACCATTTAAAAAGCATTTATCTAGCAATATTTTATTCTCCCAGAAAAATACTAGAAACAATGCATCTCATGTTTTTATCAAATACTACACTTCAAGATGAAACTAACAAAAATTTGGTTCACCAAAATTGGACACTCCTAGCTTGAGATATGAATTTTTGAAACATGCATTCAAATCTATGAAATAAATCCAGAAAATCAAATCATATCCGACTGACAGCTAGGGCTCGCAGTCAACGGGGACCCACACGTCAGACACACAGAAGTAGAGCATGGTGGTTGACCGGTGAGAGTTCATTGTCGATGAGGTTTCCGACAGTAGCATCTACACCGCTAGACTCTACACGTCGAGCCACGTCGGTAGGTGTGCTCGGTTTGCCCGGAAGATCACCGGAAGTAGCTCACCGACGGTAATAGCGGACGGTGGAGGTCATGCAAT